GATGGCTTCTATCTGAACGGAATTGAATATCTTGCGCGCATTTCTAATGGAACAAGCCCGGTGTGTCTTTTTGTCTTCAAATGTTGATCGACAATTCCAAATTAATAACCTTGGCATTAAAAAAAGTATATTTCAAATATTTGGAGCAGATCTAACTCATGATCTGGTCTCCATGCAGCCTGACCAATGCTGGTTCTTCTCTTAATTCAGCTTGCTTACATCCCTGACGTTCGTTTCGTCTCCTGAAAGTATTGCCAGTTTAACAGTTCTGCTGGCAGAGGCACTTGGTAAGACTGTAGTCGATTTTTCGAAATGCCCCCGAGCATCGCCCCTTTTCGGTTATTTTAAAAACACAGTGAATTAATTATCCAGTAAGGTTGCTTGAAAATCGCATACTCCAGTGGATCAGGTAAGTTTAAAGTTTGTGTCTCATCCTTCAGCTGAAAATGCAGACAGAATATCAGATACGAGTAGGAGTGGGAATCGCCATCAGTACCCTCAGTCTTCACCACCTTATAACTGGGAAATTGTGTCAGAAAAAAAATTGAAAAAGATTATGGTGCACTAGTATCATTATTATGGGTGCTTTTTTATTTGGTAGTGTAGCTAGCTAGTACGAACTAGCCATTAGTCTGCCTTGTCTCTCTAGAAGTATCGGTCACTACAGAGGGATCCCGATTGTATGGTAGTATGATGATGCGCTAAAATTCGTTTTTATGAAGCGCTTTGATTTACAGAATTGGCCAGGTATCAGAGATGTTTTACGAGATATCCGACATCATGTGGATACCTATGCTAAGGAAAGCTCGGTTGCTAAAGACAAACAAATGTAAGTTGGGATTAGTAGTGAAAGAATTGATATTAGTGAAGAGTGTAAATTTGGCCGATCTGTCATATACCCATCCAGTAATTGTACAACGTGGAGGCAGTCCGGACCGGAAACTACTGAACATCGACACGCTTGGCCTAGCTGTGCTCGGCTGCGAACATGCACTAAAATCTAATTGACCCGGGTTAGGGCCAGGGAAGTCCTGAGGGGATTGAGTAACTCATTGTTTCTTTTCACAATCCCGGCTGATGAAGCCGACAGTGGACCGGACACTCGAGATTTACTTAGAAGCAGTTTTGACCA